TAACCATTATTCTAAGACTTGTGTTATTGTTTTATTTTTTCTCTTTACATTTTAATCACAGATGTTTTTATTCTCACACAGTGTTATTTTTATGTGTTCTAGAATTTTTTTATAAATAAAAGCCTTTTACACTTGTGGATATTCTATACTTGCCCTTTTCACTCAGTGTTGTAGTCCTGACCTGTATCTCTGTTGATACACATAACTGTAATGGAGATTTGGACCATCTCCTCTTTTGGTATTACAACTGGGGCTCCTATGAACACATCCATACCACCCTTTTATGGTTCATTTCCAGATTGCCCCATTAGCAGTGTCACTGTCATGTCCACTATGAAGAGTTTGTGAGAGACCTTTCTTCTTGTTTATATTCCTGTCCTTCCCCACCTGTAATTAATTTTAACATTATGAGTTAATAAAATCGTGTGTTTTCTCACTTGTTTTAATTGTAGATCAAGAAGCTATTCTAGAAGTCGGAGCAGAGGATGGTACAGCAGAGGTCGAACTCGAAGCCGGAGCAGTTCCTATCGGAGTTACAAAAGTCACAGGTGAGTTTGTGGTCTTGCCCCACACTGTGGTCTCTATCAGGACTGCTTTTGAAGGGTTTGAGTAGGCAGAGTGGTGTAGCCATTAAGAAGAACCTTATCATTGCTGAACACCAGACTGGCCTATCGTCTCCTCTAGTTTTTTATTTATTTATTTATATTGTTTTAGTTGTAGGTGGGCACAGTGCTTTTATTTTATTTATTTATATTATGTGGTGCTGAGGATGAACCCAGTGCCTCACATATGCTAGGCAAGCCCTCTACCACTGAGCCACAACCCCAGCTCTCTTAGCTTTTTATTTTAAAGACTTATGGAATTCTTTTGGATAGTCCTCTGATGGGACCTTATCACAGTGAGGCATGAGAAGAAAAAAAAAAAAGAAGCCTGTGACCACTACTTCTGCCTTCTCCAAATGCATCTCCTTAACTGTAGTCTCTAGCTATAATCACCCCTTGCCTTGGGTTAGCATTGTGATAGGATTATAGGGAGGGGGCCAAGAGGGAGAAGTCTGTGTTAGCCACATTTCTAATTCACCAGCTTCTGTCCCCCTTTGGACTCTGAGGTGTGCTCCACTGCTGTAACTTCATTTATGAGTGACCTATCTATTTGGACCTTTCCCCCTCCCCACCTAGTTCACAGACCCTCTCCAGTGACTTTATGTACATCTCATGGAAGAACTGTATAAACTTAATCTTTCTTCAGAAACCAATGGGCTTTTAAAGATTCTAGTGTACATGGATATAAAAAGAATATATAGTTGGGGTTGGGGTGGTGGCTCAGGGGTAGAGTGTTTGCCTAGTATGTGTGAGGCACTGGATTTGATCCCTGGCACCACATATAAAAAGTAAAATAAAGGTATCATGTCCATCTACAATTAAAAAAAATATTTTAAAATATATAATTACAAGATGTTGCTGTATTTTCACTTTGATGGACAAAAAAAAAGTCTAGAATTTTTATATTGCCTGCCTTGCCCCGATCCACAAGGTGATGGTCTTTCCTGTGATTCATACTAGGACATCTAGCAGGAGCAGATCCAGGAGCAGCTCGTATGATCCCCACAGTCGGTCCAGGTAAGGACAGGAATTGGGTACCCACCCACAGGGGCAAATTGGAGAGGCTTCATTTTATAAACTCTCAGTTCAAAGTGTGGTGGACATTTTTTTTGTTTTGTTTTGTTGTGATTTTAGTGTCAGGGATTGAACCCAAGACTTCACACATGCTACTAAGCATATGCTCTACCACTGAACTGTACCCACCACCTAGCATGTTGTTGTTTTTTTTGTTCTTTGTTTTTTGTTTTTTACACTAGGGATTAAACCCAGGCACTTAACCACCGAGTTAAGTCCCCAACTGTTATTTATTTATTTATTTAAAAAATATTTTTGTTGTTGATGGACGTTTATTTTACTCACTTATTTATACATGGTGCTGAGCTACAACCCCAGCCCCCCCCCTTTTTTTTAATTTATTTTGAGATAGGGTCTTGCTAAGTTGCCGAGGCTGGGCTTGAAATTAGTGATCTTCTGACCTCAGCCTGCCAAGTCACTGGGATTACAGGCACATATCACCATGCCCAGGTCACCTTGAATTTTTTATTGAAGAAGTTAAATGTATTTGTGTCTTCTGTAATCATACCATTTGTAAATGAGATCTTTTTGACAGTTTTTATCTGTCAGCCCATTATACTTCAGTGTCAGGATTATAACTAATATAAAATGGTAATACCAGGTGTTTGTTGAATATAATTGCCTAATAAGATCAATGAGATTCAGTCAAACTAACTCAGTGTTAATTTTGTAATATTTTTCAATGCAGAAAAGAAACATTTTTCTCTTTAACATGGTAAGTCTGATTTAGGGCAATTACTAAATGTTTCTAGTACTTGTTATACAACTGTGTCTTCACACTGTCATTGAGTGCCTGTGTTCTAAGTTAAAACACTCTTAGAGACCTACAAAGAAATGGAAATCTCTGTGAATATTTGAATGGGAAAATTTAGTGTGTGTTGTTGCTGTTGAAGCAGGTCCTACACTTATGATAGCTACTACAGTAGGAGTCGGAGCCGAAGCCGGAGCCAGAGGAGTGACAGTTACCACCGAGGCAGAAGTTACAACAGGCGGTCCAGGTGGGTCCTTCCTTTAGAGCACATCAAGTTCTTAAGGGCACTTGGTGTGTAAGGTGATGGAAGAGGACAGAAATACTCCATTATCTTCTCAAATTTCCAGAATCCACAGGTAGCTAATAGAAGTAGCTTTGTTATTATGAGTCGTCAGGTAATATCTATTGGTGGTGGTTCATGTTTGAATCTAAACTGGGTTCTTTAAGTATTCACATATCATTGAACAAATACTTCTTTTAGGAGTAAAGGGAAAAAACAACGAACCATGTCCTACTTCCTTAAGTTGGGTTACTTGCTAGAAATAGCCAATTTGTCATATTTTAAAACAAAGACATAAAATAAATGTTAATATCAAGCCAAGCATGTTGGCACATGCCTGTAATCCTAATGACTCTGGAGGCTGACAATCAGTCATTCAATCAACAGTCAGCAAAAAAGGGCTGGGGATGTAGCCCAGTGGTAAAGCACCTCTAGGTTCAATCTACTGGACACAAGGGAAAAAAAAGAAATGTTAATCATCATTTGTTCCAGCGGCAGAATGGAGGTTTAGAGTCAATTATTTAGTAAAATATATTTTTCATGCAAATACACACACACACACACACACATATAACATATATATGTAATGTATTTTGGCTACTGCAAAAGTCTTTATGGTGACTTTTGTAATGTTTCCTTACAGTGATCTGGACATTCTATTGCCTAAGATGGTTCAGGGACTCAACTGCTGTCTTCAGTTAGGCTCAGGCTCCTTGTCATTGCATGCAAGGTTCCACCACTTATGAACACCATCTCTGACTCTTGATCCCGGTGTCTCTCCTTTGATGTGCTGAAACCTTTCCTTCTGCCTAGAGACATAAGTGCCCTCTCCACCATCCCCCATTTTGCCTCTTAAAATAACTAATCCTACCTACCCTGCAGGTCTCTACTGCAACTCCACTGCCCCTGGGAGTCAGGAAATACAGCCCCTCCAATGTGCCTCTGAAGCAGACTTTGCTTCCCTGGGGTTCTCATTGCCTCTAACTTAATTGCTTTGCACACTACTCTATATTATCCTTGAGCCCCAGAAACTATATTATAGTCACCTGCCCCACCTCCCCTTTGATGCCTACTGTGACAATATATTTTTTTAACTAACTGAAGGGTGACTGTGACCAGGTCCTCTTGAGTCAATATCCCAGTGGCCTCGTTCATGTGCAGATCCATTTCTGAACCCCATTGGGCCCAAATTTTGGTGTCCATTCCTTCAATGAAACTATTTATGCATCTTCCCCCTACTTACTTCCTTAGACTAGCTAATCAAATATTGATCATTTTGGGTAACACAGAAAATTATTTTGCTTCTCAGCATGAATGGATTTCAAGTAAATGTCACAAGCGTGAAGTTTTTTTGTTTTGAGTTTTGGTACTGGGGATTGAACTGAGGTATGCTTTACTACCGAGCCATGTCCCTAGGCCTTCCTTTTTAGTTTTTTGTGCTAAATTGTGAGACTGACTTTGAACTTGAAATCCATCTGCCTCAGCTTCCCAAGTGCTAGAATTATAGGCCTGTGCCATTGTGCCTAGTTCTTTATTTTTATCTTACTCTTGATATTGCTACCATATATCATTTTAAACATCCTGAAAAGTCCATAGTAAAAGCCATAGTCAGAACTGTACTTGTCTATCCCCTGTGCTTGCTGTAGCAATAGTGTATTAAAGTCACTCATATCAAAAAGGAAGCTCCAAGAGGAATTGAAAGGGTGGATAGTTAAAAGGTTTTCATATGTTTTGTTTTGTTATACAGGAGTTGTAGATCTTATGGCTCTGACAGTGAAAGTGACCGAAGTTACTCTCATCACCGAAGCCCCAGTGAAAGCAGCAGATATAGTTGAAAATGTCCTTTTTTGATACAAATTATATCGTATTTGTAAATATCTGATAACTTAAAAAAGTTTAAGAAACTTAATGGCAGTCTGTTGTTCTATTTCAGTATTAGAGATGAATTTCAAAGACAATTGTTATTCATTTACATGTGTAGAATAATTTAAAATACAGATGTCTCCTAGAAATATTTTTATGCCACATTTTACAGTAGCCAACTTTGGAATTTTCATTTTCTTGAATCAAGAAATTGTGAAATCTATGTAAGTATAATTTGCAATATTATTTTAGGTAGACTATTTCTTTCCATCTCATGTATTCCTAAGAATACAGACTCTTTTTGCCCATTTTTCAGGTTTTAGCATACATGCTGCCAAGCATAGAACTGTGAAGAAGAACTGTTAAAGGCGGCCAAATGTTTATATACCAGTTGTACAGTCTTGTAAAAACAAACCACCCGAATCCATACCAATGGTAACCAGGAGCATAAGGCAGTGTGGCTCTGGGGTTCTTAATTCATACATTGCTTCTTTGCTGGCTCAATCAGGAAAGCAGTCATCATACTGCCCACGGTCTGCATTATTTCAGGCTGGTGGACAAGGTTGAGAAGAGAAAATCAGCCTTAACTATAAATACCTGCACTGTCTCTAAGGAATTAGTACTTTGTGTGCTTTTTAATAAAAAACTATCAGAAGTTTAGATTATAAAAAACAATTCTATTCCAGTTCATGCTTTGGTGCTTGGTACCTTTTGGTGCCTCTCTAAGCATTATTCTTACATATTCCACATAATAATACTATGAGAGAGAATAAGGAATTTCTTTTTAAATCACTGGCACTGAAAATGGTTTCTTCTGAGCTGTCTTCACTTTGAATATTGGGGGGCTTCTCTCAAACATGTGTGGGCTGGGGGTCCCCTGGAGCAGGCAGGATTGGCAGTGGTGGGGATGGCCACTTAGGTCTACACATGTGTGTGCTTGTGGAAGAGTGGATTAGAAAGGGAACTTCAAGAATAACACTGGAACCTTAGCTGCCACCATCCTGGAGCCATTTTACAGGGTTTTACTTTGAAGTCTTTCAAGTAAAGAATGTACCACAGCGGCAGCAGAACAGTTCCAACAGCATGTTTTTCTCATTTGTGTTGCAACCCACTAGTTCAGTAAAGCCTTGCTTGACCTGAGTGAACCAGAAGAGAGGGCTGTAGAGTACTGTATGTCATATTTCCAAGGCTTTGGGTGTTCCTCCAAAAATAATTGGACCTGTGAAAACTAGTGTTGATTTTTTTTGTTTGTTTGTTTTTTTTAATCTTCAATTTGAATTCCCCCCCAAGTGTACTTAATCACCTTAGTGCCAATTTAATCCAGTTATGCAGGACAAATTCATTTTGAATGTTGGTGTAGAAGTCTGTGCCATCCTGCCCCAGGCCTTGCCTGGTGTATTTGGGAAGTGGAAAAGAGCCCTCAGATGAGGGATATGACAACCCTGGATGGATGGGAGGGCTCACTCACCACATTGGAGGTACTGTAATTCTTATCCAAGGGTTGGGGAGTGTAGCTCAGGGGTGGAGCATGTGCTTAGCATGCCTCCTGAGTCCCAGGATTCAGTCCCCAGCACCAAAAAATATATACAGCTGTCAACCATGGGAAGTAGGTAAACCAGATTAGGTGGTCCATTGTTTATCAAGTCAGAAGATAGAAGTACATTAGGAAACAGAACTAAATAAAAAATCAGTACTTGATCACACATACAGAACAATGATTGATTCATATTAAGGATTTTCAAATATTGCCTTCAAAGGCGGATACTGTTTTAATAACACTAGTCGGTGGGGGAAAAATGCATTCAGAACCCAAAAAGAAACTACTAAATCTAATTAGGTTCAGAAAAGTTACTCTTGGGCAGTATATGAGTTGTTACTGTATGACAAATTCTTCCAAATTTAGTAGTTTAAAACAGCACCCATTTCTTTGGTTCATAATTCTGCAGCTTGCGGGTCCAGCATGTTATAGCTGGATTTTCAAGTCTCACGGACTGAAGTCAGGGGTGGGCAGGGCAACTTTCCTTTATGAAGACTCTGCTTCAGGCTTGTTCAGATTGTTAGCAGACAGAATACGTTTCTTGCTTGCCTCAGAAAGGGGCCTTTTGACTCCTTTAAGGCTGCCCACAAACCAGCAGTGGCCCTTCCAGTCCTCCTGCTTCTCATGCTACAAATCTACCTTCCTCGTGTTTTAAGTTCCAGGTGATGAGATCAAGCCCCAGATATAATCTCTTTTAAGGTCAATTGTGCCATAGAAATGATGTAATAAAAGGAGTGGTATCATATTCATAGGTTCTGGGGGCTGCTAGTGTATAGAAGGCAGAGAGGCAGTGACTTTGCCTACGCCTTAGTTGTGGGTTGGATTTTATCCTAAAAGGGTAGAAGCCTCGTGTGTTTTCTCTACAGACAAGGATGGCCCTCTGCTCAAGTGTTCAACTTGTGTGTTTACTGAAGTGAGCTACAGAAATAGCTTTTCTTCCTAAAAGGGGATTGTTCTGTATTTTGAAGTTATTTTTTAATAAAACTGAATTATGTCATATAATGTGCTTCCTAATAGAAAATCATTATTGGACTGGTTTTGTAACGTCCTGTTTACTGCAAAGGAAATAGCTGGTATTGTTCAAAAAATATAGAAAATACTTTTGTACATACTAGCAATGTCTAATTTGTATACACCTCAATTTCCCTAAAACTTGAAAGAGGGACCTTGTAGAAATTAAAATACATACTTAGTCTAAATCTGTCTGTGAATGTTTCATCTTTTTTTTTTTAAGTATTAAGTTTTAGGTGGACACAATATATTTTACATTTATGTGGTGCTGAGGATCGAACCCAGTGCCTTGTGCATGCTAGGCGAGCGCCCTACCACTGAGCCACAACCCAGCCCCCCTGTTTCATCTTTCTTTACTCACCCAGATTTCAACTAGTTTGTCTGAAATGGGAAAAATAAACCACTGAGCATCTTGGCTGACCTAGCCAGTGAAGAGACCTTCTCTCTGTTTGCAGCTTACTGTCTTCTAGTTAGTGGTGGGGCAAGAAATGGAGCCAGGGAGAATGTTAGACAGAGCTGTTACCCTACAGAGATAGGCATCAATGGCACTTGCTCTCACTCTGGAAATTCCAGATTTCCTTTAGGCTTTGTCATCCAGCTGAAGTGACCTGCATACAGAGGTCTCTGCTGAGGAGGAAAGATGCCCAACCCATCTGTGATTTGCTGCCTAGGGACGGTCTGTGTACTTACGAACTCTCCATCCCCCTCCCCCTTCCCCAGTAGCAGTTTACCAGGCAGCCAGCAAGCGAGAGCGAGGGGCAGATTCTCACTCACCTCCAGAGACAGCATTCGTGGTGATATTTTTAACACACACATGAGAATTTCCCAGGCAAGTACAATTAACTTTCTCCTCAGAGCTCAAAGGAGTGTGTGTTTTCTTAGTGAATTAGCATAACTTTTCACTTGCAGATATCGAGTTTTCTAAATTAACACTGGATTCCCAAGTTCAACAACCAGAAATTGTCAAATCTGAATGTTTTGCTTTAAATTTTAAAGAAAATGGTAGAGTGTGTTAACTGTGGGGAAATCCCCTCAGGAAGTTCTTCATGGTCTTATTTTGCAGTGAGTTTTTATTTACATTCTGATATACTGATAAGCTTGATTAGTTGGGCCATATTGGGAAATGTGTCAGGGGCTTTGGTCTTGACTTCTGAATTAGCTAGGCATTAATTGGATGGAAAGAATTCAAGGAGAATTGGGGTTGTGGCTCAGTGGCAGAGTGCTTGCCTCTCACATGTGAGGCACCGGGTTCTATTCTTCACACCACACAAAAATAAACAAATTAGGGCTGGGGATGTGGCTCAAGCGGTAGCGCGCTCGCCTGGCATGCGTGCAGCCCAGGTTCGATCCTCAGCACCGCATACAAAGATGTTGTGTCCGCTGAAAACTAAAAAATAAATATAAAAAAATAAACAAAATAAAGATATGTGTCCATTTGTAGGAGGGGGAAAAAAAGAATTCAAGGAAAATGCCCCTTTTTGCAGTCATAATACTGAAAGAGAAAGGAGGCTCTGCTTGGTATTAGACGCCTAGCAGCAAGTGTTCAGCCTTGAATGACTTTTGTAAACTAGTATGGCCAGGTGGCAGCCTTGGAAGCCATGCCTCACAGGGTGGCAGGGATTGGCTTTGGATTTCCAAAAGACACTGGTTTTAGCAGTTGGAATTGATTGCTGCTACTGCAGATGAGAGAGGTGAGAGCACACATTCCCAGGAGGGGCTTAAGAGTGAGCTGGCAAGAGTGCTGGGGGGACCTCAGCTAGGCACTGTGAAGGCTGCAGCCTCTTTAGTGTTGGGAGGGAGCTGGATACCCTGAAGACACCTGATCCCTGTATTGCTGAGAAGCTTCAGTGCCTGAAGGCACAGGCAAGAGCCTTTGTGGCCACACACAGGGACCAGGGCTTTCATGGTCTGTTTTCTTTCAGAGTTCTGACAGCACAGTGCCACCCTGCTGCAGCCTCCCCTCCTTGTGGGTCAGAGGCCCCCTGTGGGTGCTCACCTCTAGGGGTAGCAGCAATCAACACCAACTAAAAACCAGTGTGTTTTAGAAACCTGAAGCCAGTACTGCCACCTTGTGAGGTGTGGCTTCCAAACCATGCTAGTTTGTGGCCAAGTTAGGGGGCAGGGACAAGCACTCTGCCTCTTGGAAGGCCCAAACCCACTACTCACCATTTGTGGTCCATTGGGCTCCATTTAGCTCAGCTCTACAGCATGCAGGAAAGACCCAGGCCAGTGAGGGGGATCCCTTCAACCAGGCAGAGCCGCAAAAACATGGAGTGACCTGAGGTCTCAGGGACAAACTCCTGTACTCCGCATCTTGGGCCCTGACCCTGGGCCTCTGATTGCACGTTTGATCTGCGGTCAGTGGCCCTCTTAACTCATGAGCACTAAAAGGGTATGTGTGACTGGTACAACCAGATGTGATAGATAACTAAGGGTGCTCATCTCAGACCTGCCTCCCATTAGGCCAGGCCCAGAGTGTTTCAACAGCCCCAGGTCCCCCAGCAACTAAAGTCTACCACCAGGCCAGATTTCTAGGGGAAGCTGAAGTAAAACCCTACTGACCTCACATTTCATGCCTGCAGGATCTGTGGTGGATAAATGCTTAGAACTATTCATCTATCAAAGTGGCCCAGGGGTCACCACCTCTAGGAAGCGTGGAGTCCTACCACATTCGTGGTGGATGGGCCAGGCTGAATCCCTAGTGAGAGTCTGGGATCTCCTCTTGAACCAGCAGGGCAGGAGAGGATTCTAGAAGCTGCCAGGAAGGCCTGGAATGCCAAGGTCTTGATGTTGATGCTAGGAAAGAGGACCAGGCAGGCTGCTGGTTTGCATTAGGCCCCACCCTGGGGCAGCTGTAGCCTATTAGTGCTGGGCCCAGACGATGCAGAACAACACAGGCACAACCCCACACCCAGGAGATCTAAGGCCCTGGGTCAGCTCCCAGTGGGTGGCTTTGAACTTTCCTGCCGCCCCTACCAGCCCCATGCTGTGTTCCTTCCTCCCTCAGCTCAGCTCCACACAGCTCCATGTCCTGGAGGGAGGCTGAGCCCTGCACTCTGCCCTCCCTATCCCAAACAGAACCTGTTCTTTCCAGATTCTGGGGGGGGGGGGGTGAATCTAGCCAAGCCTGGGGATACTCCAAGCACAATCTGGGGCATGGAGCCTCATCATGAGAGAGAAGCTGAGGGCTAGGTACTTGGGAAGTTTCAAGAAATCCCAGGAGCTGTACTCCAGAGGCAGGGATATGGCTTTACTGACCACCACATTCAGCTCCAGGTGGCTTACTGAGCTCTGCCCTTGCCAATTGAGTGTTTCTGCAGACTCCGGACTCCCTGGGGCACACAGTTCTGGTCTAGGATCCTCCTCCCTGCAATTCAGTCCCACCCACCCCTTCAGGAGGTGAAGTTCCCTGTGTGTCCCTCACCAGGCCAAGAACGGTGCTGCCTGTCCGCCAGCCACATACTCCTACTCAAAGAGTGTGTTGACCCCGCTGCACCCATCTCTCCAGTTGCCTGCAGTGATACTCTGTTTCCTCCCAGGCTCTGCAGTAGTACAGCTGAGGGGAAGCAGCCCTTTGGGTCTACCAGACTCGGCTCACACGGCTTCTTGACAGGTCTGGTGTACCCAGGCACCAGTGTCCCACAGAGCTCAGGCTCTGCCTGGGGCTCCCCAGCGGATGACCTGCAGCCCCAAAAGCAAGAGGAGAACAGCTGGGGCCTTTGGGGACACTGAGCACTTCTATCTCCCTTCTCACCAACCTCCAGTCCCTCCTCCAGCCTGGTTGCCATAGCCAAGATTATTCTCAAAAGGACCAGCCTCCCTCCCTTGGTCACACTGGCCACTCTTGGCCAAGCTGTGGCTGGATATGGGTCTAGGAGTGTCCCACACAGCCCAGCTAGGCTCCTTCCAGCCCATAGGAGGTGGCACTCAGCCTTTTTCTTTTGTTTTGGTACCAGGGATTGAATCCTGCGGCACTTAACCACTGAGCCACATCCCCAGCCCTTTTTTGTATTTTTTTTTCTGTAGAGACAGGGTCTCCCTGAGTTGCTTAGGGCCTCTCTAAGTTGAGGCTGGCTTGGACTTGGAATCCTCCTACCTCTCATCCTCCCAAGTCTCTGGGATTACAGGTGTGCGCCACGGTGCCCAGCTCCCCAGCCCCACTTTTCTTTAGCTTCTGACTCTGATATCTGTCTGCTTGACTTATCTCACTCTGTGCCTCAGTGTCTACATCTAACCAAACAGTTCAAAGCCCCTTCCTTGCCATCTCACAGGTAATGCAAGGATCCACGTTGAATTGGATGAGGAAGCGGGTTGGGAGGGAAGAGACAATGTAGGCCAGGGGCCTCTCGGGCTGAACCAGCTGCCAGGGGCCTCCTAGATGCCCAAGCTCCAGGGGCATGTCCAGTTTGGGCCCCTTCCGTTCTGATCTCATCTCTTTCTACCCAGTGAGTGTGTCTTCTCATCTCCATTGACCATGTGCACTCCTCCCCTTATCCTGGGCATTCTATTGACCCCATCTCTGTCCCTGAGACATTTTCTCCTCCTCCTTCTTGAGGGTCTCCCCATTCTGGCCCTTGCTATCTTACAGGACAGACCATCAGGCTGTTTCACTGAGCCAGCCTAGGACTCTGCCTCTGCTCCATTCCCTCTCCCAACACCCAGAACAAATCATCCCGGAGCAGGCCCTAGATTCCCTGCTCACCCATGAGCAAGGTGGCAATCCCTGGGGATACTGCTGCAGCTGGCACAAGCCTGTCGGTGAACCAAATGCACTTGTGTGGGAGGGCTGGGGTGACCCAGGGTGGGGCAGCAGTCAGCTTGGGGTCAGGGTGGGGATGCAGACAGGCATTAGAGTGATGACATGGGGCAAAGGAGAAGCCCACAGAGGCCTCCTCTCCACAATGGTAGCCCCAGTCACCACCTGGACTCTGCCAGGCCAGTACCCCATGGTCCCCACCCTGCTGCCTGCTCAGTCTGGCTAGGTTCCTTTGCAGCCTCTGGCAGAACAGCCAGCCCCCTGCCCCCACGGGTGTCCGTGCCAGAGCAGCATTCCGCAAGGCTGGCTGCATCTCCCCAGCAGAGGCTGGGTAGGGAGGCCACTCAGCAGTGATCAGGTCACAAGGCTGGGGGGACACAGTGGGGCCTGGGCCTCTGGCCCCCACCTCTCTGGTCCCACCATCTCCTCCTGGTCCTGGGCCAGTCACTTTAAAGGATTTAATTACTGCATCTGTGCTTGGGGGTCTTACATCTGCTGCTTCCAGAGTAGGCCACCAGGTAGGTATGGATCAACGAGAGACAAGCCTTGGAGGCACACAGTAAAATGAGCCCTGGGCTGCCCTGGGGACCCAAGACTCACCCCCAAGTCAGTAGCCCAGGCCACAGGATGGGGGTGGCAAGCGAGGCTGGGGTGCGGGGCTCGGTCCCTCCGCGTAGGATCGCTCTGGGGGAGCAGGTGGAAGTCTTTTCAGCGGCGAGTTGGGGGCCAGGCGCGCCCAGCTTCCCGATTTCTAGGCAGCCTCCTACCCTGGCCCCGCCTCCGTGGTGCAGCTGGAGGGCATCGAGGTTAGATTCCGGGACGAACTTCCCGGCACAAGGGGTGCTCGGCGCGGGAGGGTGAGCCGGGGTCAAGCTGCTCGAATAGGAACGGGGGGGGGGCTAGTTGGGGGCCGGCGGCGGAGGCAGAGGGGGCTGCGCGGGACGGCACCCACCACGCGCGTCCGCGCCCCCCGCTGGAGCGCAGGACGGCCTGGCCCTTTAAGCGTCCAGACGGCGGCCCCAGCTGACGCGCGGGCTCCAATCGGCGCCCCGCGCCCCCCGCCCGCCGCGCCCGAGGCTCCGGGCCGCAGCTGCTCGGCGTCCGACTCGCCGCGGCCCTGCGCCTCCGCCCGCCCGGCCGCGCCCCCGGGGCCATGGTCGCGGGGCCCTGCGCGGGGGCGGCCCCCAGCGCGGCGCTTCATGGAGCGGCCCCGGCCCGGCCGCCGGGGGCAGCGCGATCCCGCGGGGCCCTGTGAGCCCCCAGCGCCACGGCACCATGGTACGCAGGGCCCTGCCTGTCCCCCCGCTTATCCGCCCACCTGCCAGCTCTGCCTTCCCGAACGCACGGCCCGCGGGCTCGCGTGAAGGGCTGGAGCGATCTTGCCCCTCCCCCGGTCTTCCCGACCCCATCTGCCGGGTCCCCGCGGGCCGGAATGCAGCGCTACGGCGCCGCTCTTGGCGGGGAGGGGGTTAAATTCCTGGGGTGGGGGCACCGGCGCGAGAGGCAGAGGTCTTGCTAGGCACGGGCGGAGGGGGCGCTTCCCTGCGCCCGGGACGGCGCCGCCCTCCGGCTGGGTGATGGGGGGAAGGGGACTCGGATTCCCGCCCGGGCCCTGGGCCACGTGGGCGCTGGAGCCGCCCAGCCTGGGGATTGAGGGTGGCTCGGGCCAAGGGCTGGGGGTGCCCCTAGCTGCGGTCCAAACTCCTGTGTGACCTTGGGCCAGTCCCCCGCCCTCTCTGGTCTGCTTGCCAGGGGAGGAGGAGAGGCAAGGGCAAAGAAGACTGGCAGAGTCACCCCACATCCAAAAGCAGGATCCTAGAGGTCACCAGCTTGTGCCCCCTTGCTCAGCCTGGGCTCACCCACTGCTGCCCAGGGATGAAAGGGTGGACACCAGCTTAGGGGGGCACAGATGGATGCCCCAGGTGTCATTCCGGGGCCTTCCTGGAAGTGAGGCCAGTACCCCTCAGGTGTAGCTCTGCAGCTTCAGCAGGTGTCTTCTGACTTGGGAAGGGCTTGAGGGCATGAGATCCCCTGGCCCCAGGGTGCCTGACCACTCTCCTGGTCCTGCATCTTTGCCAGGAGAGTGGCCTGGGCTGGGGCTGGGGTGTGTGGCTGCAGCTGGCACAGCCAGATGGGGAGGGGCATCCCCAGCTTCAGAGTACTGGCACATCTGGCTGGGGAGGCCAGCACAGCTGGTGGGCACTGCAGAGGAGGGGCCATACAGGGAGCAGCTGTGCCCTGCTGAGGGCTGCCACTCAGGGATTCCGGCAGCATCTCTGTGCCCAGGATGTGACTATCGTGACCGGGCGGGACAGCCTTAGGATGGAGTCACTGCCCTCCTCTCCCTCCTGAGGCCAGAGGGCTGGGGCGCACAGAAGGGTGTTTCATAATGGCCCAACAGAAGGAATGGAGCCTCCTGATCTGAAATGGGCTACCCCTAAATGGCCTGGCTGCTTTCCCTGGAGGCCCTAAGAAGACCCTGTCCCTGCCTAAGTGGTTCCCTGACCCTTCACTGACGTGTGGGGGCAGTGGCTCTGGGGAAGAGGTGGCAGGTGGAGGGTTGAGTGGAGTTTGGGAAAGTACCACTGGTCCCTGGCTGGTAGATACCTCCTCCTGCTTAGCCAGTCATCTGACCACAGGAAACAGTGCCCTGTCCAGCAAGGCAGACATGGCTTGGCCAAGCTGGGAGGCCAGGGCTCTGGACTGTGGACCCTGCCATTCTGAGCCTTGGTTTCCCCATCTGTGCAGTAGAGGTGGATCCCAGAAGATGAATCAGAATGAGTCAGAGGAGGGAGATGGGAGGGGCTTGGTGCCACGTCCCAGTTAGATTGGCCAGGCCTGGACAGGCCAGCAGGTCTAGGACAAAGGGGGGGCCGATGGTGGCTTCTTGGCTGGAGGAAAGGGTATGGTGGGAGAACTCAAGGAAGATGGTGTCCATGGCTTGGGGCCTGGCCAAACTAGGATCTGAGAGAGCGCAGCGTGGGTGCTGCCCTGGACTGTGGCTGCAGGGGGCAGGGTCCAGGGTTTGGCTAGAAGCAGGTGGCCCTTGCTAGCTTGTTAAGTTTCATCCCGAGGCTGTACTCATTCAGGTGACTGTGGAGTTGGGCTGGACATCACCATGCCTGCCCAGTCTGGGCCCACCCGCTGCTGCCCCAGACAAGGAAGGATGGCAGGAGGCAGGGTCCATCTCGGGTCCTCTAAGGAGGTGCTGGTTTTGTGGCTTTGGGGCAAAGTACCTCAAATGAGGGAGGCTCTGCCCAGCTGGGAAGGCCTGAGGCCAGTCAGAACCTAGAACCTGTGGGGTTGGTCTGTCCAGCAGGGAGTCAGCAGATAATAATGGAACATCTGCTGTGCACTGGAACTGGGCAGGCTGTCCGTCTGCACCCCCATCTTCTGGGGAGACAGTCTGCTAGTGTCGGGGCCACAGATGGTGGGTTGGCCCCTATTCAGGACAATTCATATGTTCTGGATATGGCTCCTGTGCCTCAGAGTCTGACCTATCAGACCTTGAGGGCCTCCCCAGGGCTCGCCACGTGGGTGGCCTCCAAGGTAGGGCCATCCTGGAGCCTCTGGGCCTGGGCTATCCCTGACTGGGTGAAAGCAGGGAGCTGCTGGGCCATGGGCAAAGGGGCGTAGCAGAGCAATGAGTGAGCTCTGGAGCTCTCCAGCCTCCTTGGGAGGGCTGCAGGACCAGGGTGAGGGAGAGAAACGTCACAAAGTCTCCTCTTCTGCAGCCCTTGGGCCTGGGCCCACTACTGACAAGGGAAGGGGCCCTCGGTGCTGCCTGGTGGTCAGCAGAGGCCGGGCAGTGAGTGAGCAAGCTCGCCGGACTCCTGTTCTTGAGGTGCTTGGGTTGGGCCAGCTTTTCTCCCCATGTGTCAGTAGTTGAGGCGGAATCCACAAGGCTCAGGAAATGCTGAAGGGGTGGGTTGGAGGAAGAGGAAGGGCACAGTGAGCAGGAGCCTTCTAGGTTTGCCTGGGACTCTCCTGGTTCTAGCACTCAAAGTCCTGCCTCCCAGGACACCCCATCTGCCCTGCAAACCTGAATGGGTGTCACCAAAGTCACCTTTCCTCCTGTTCCCTTCCTATCCGACTCTTCCCATTCACAGAGGAAGAGCCCCCCAGGCCCAGGAAAGTTCCTGGCTGGCCCAGGAGCTCATCTTCAGCCTGGGGGGTCTGAGTTCTGCAGGCAGCTGGCCCAGGCTGGCACCCGCCCTCCACCTCCTTGCTCAGCTTGGACTCCTTCCTCGCAGGGTGGAGCCAGGAGATGGGCTGCCTCCCTCCCTGATAGCGGGCGCGGCTGTGGGTGGGCAGGGGCCGCTGCCCTTGACCTCTGCCGTGCCTCTGCCTCCGCAGTTGCTGGTTGAGAAGACGACCGACTCACCAGCGGTGGAGTTCTCGCTGGTGGAGGACGTGGCGCTGCACTTCGCCTGCTTGATGGGCCGTCTGAACGAGCAGCGGCTCTTCCAGCCTGACCTCTGTGACGTGGACCTGGTGCTGGTGCCCCAGCGCAGCGTCTTCCCGGCGCACAAGGGCGTGCTGGCCGCCTACAGCCAGTTCTTCCACTCGCTCTTCACCCAGAACAAGCAGCTGCAGCGCGTGGAGCTGTCCCTGGAGGCGCTGGCGCCGGGCGGCCTGCAGCAGATCCTCAACTTCATCTACACGTCCAAGCTGCTGGTCAACGCCGCCAACGTCCACGAGGTGCTCAGTGCCGCCTCCTTGCTGCAGATGGCCGACATTGCCGCGTCCTGCCAGGAGCTGCTGGACGCCCGCTCCCTCGGACCCCCGGGCCAAGGCACCGTGGCTCTCGCCCAGCCGACGGCCAGCTGCACCCCGGCTACGCCACCCTACTACTGTGACATCAAGCAGGAGGCTGACACCCCAGGCCTGCCCAAGATCTATGCCCGTGAGGGCCCCGACCCGTACTCCGTGCGTGTGGAGGACGGGGCTGGGACCGCTGCTGGCACAGTACCGGCCACCATTGGGCCAGCCCAGCCTTTTTTCAAGGAGGAAAAAGAGGGAGGTACTGAAGAGGCCAGAGGGGCCCCGGCCAGCCTCTGCAAGCTGGAGGGTGGCGAGGAGCTGGAGGAGGAGCTCGGGGGCCCTGGCAGCTACAGTCGCCAGGAGCAGTCCCAGATCATCGTGGAGGTGAACCTTAACAACCAGACGCTGCACGTGTCCACAGGGCCAGAGGGGAAACCGGGCACTGGGGCAAACCCGGCCACCATGGTGCTGGGCCGGGAGGACGGGCTGCAGAGACACTCGGAGGAGGAGGAGGAGGCGGATGAGGAGGAGGCGGATGAGGAGGAAGAGGAGGGTGGTGGCAGTGGAGGGGGAGAGGAGGAGGAAGAGGAGGAGGAGGAGGAGGGTGGCAGCCAGGGAGAGGAGGAGGACGAGGAGGAAGAGGCGCACAGCGAGCCAGAGGAAGAAGAGGAGGAAGAGGAAGGGCACAGTGAACAGGATCCAGAGAGCTCAGAGGAGGAGGAGGAAGACGAGGAGGAGGAAGGAGAGGCCGAAGGTGGGCAGGGGCCAGTGGGGACTGGGGGGCGCCAGGGCAGCCGAGCAGACCCCCCTGCCCACAGTCGAATGGCCACGAGGTCCCGGGAGAATGCCCGGCGCCGGGGTGCCGCTGAGCCTGAGGAGGCTGGGCGGCGGGGTGGGAAGCGGCCGAAGCCCACTGGAGTGGCCCCTGCACCCGCCCGTGGGTCACCAGCCACCGACGGGCTGGGGGCCAAGGTGAAGCTGGAGGAGAAGCAGCACCACCCGTGCCAGAAGTGCCCACGGGTCTTCAACAACCGCTGGTACCTGGAGAAACACATGAACGTCACCCACAGCCGCATGCAGATCTGCGACCAGTGTGGCAAGCGCTTCCTGCTGGAGAGCGAGCTGCTGCTGCACCGGCAGACGGACTGTGAGCGCAACATCCAGGTGGGCCTCAGGGCGGGCTCCCACACCCCACCTTGCTGGCGGCACTGCCCAGGTGGTCTGCGGAGACCAGCCCAGGAAGGAAGGCAGGGCCCAGGTTCTCAGG